GTATACCGCTGAACCAAGAAGTTCTCCTTTTGTGTGTGTCTAATCCAGTTTGATTACATTTCTGTCACTTACAACCAAAATAGTTCCACTATATCACCAGTAGCCAGGAAAGCAGATGATCAGCAGACATGAGTGTTCTAACCAGAGCAAAGGCGAGGGAAGGGCTGTGGGCCTAGAGCAGGAAGGCTCCCACAGTGAGTGGGCAGGGGAACCTGTCTTCACAGTTCCAGCGAGCAGGTTGTCTTGGAGCATGTCTGTGGTTCTCTTCTCTTGGCCTCAGGGAGAGGCACACAGAAGCATATTTAATAAGGGGAGTAAGGAAAGATGGTCCCTCACCATGACAACTTCTTTAGGGAGGAAAGAACAGGAACTAAATTCCCCACATCCCAACCCTAGTATCATGTTCCTGTTACTCTGAAAACTGCGTCTGATTTTTGACCTTCAGATAGATAGTAATTTAAATGGTTGATGCCTTATGAAATACCCAACAATCTCAGTTCCCTTTACCCATACAATCATGTTTTATTTTTAGTCTCTTATTCTTTACTGCTAACACCTACATGTAAACACAATCTTAGTCCGCTCAATCCCACGTTCTCACTGCCCATCCTTCACCTGAAGTCATAATCCCGTTTGCCGCATCATAATCACTTCCCCGGCACAGCACCGTTGCTTCAGGAGGGAGAAAAAGCAGTAGGAGCAGAGGAACTCTTAGTAACAGAGATCCTAATCTCTTCCAGTGAGGGACATCCTTCCCTAAGCCTATTTGGCTTTACAGAGTATTCCCTCTTGGGGTCTCCTAGAGTGGTGCACAAATGCTAAAAAAGCACCCACGTAGAATCTGCTGGTTTGTCATAGCAAGACCAAACATGGGAGGGTAAGGCAGGGATAAAGCAGAGGCCTCTTAGGTGTCACTCGGAATAACTGTTAGCTTCCACGAACAGGGCAACATTCACCGCAAAGAATAAAATGTCTCCAGAACCATCCTATTAAGTCAAACTTAACAAGAGAGTGGCTGTGGCAGTCACTAATGAAAGTCCTTCTGACCTGGAGATACGCCAACCCACGGAGAGGATGACCCGTTTATCTGCGGTCTTTGGTATAAGCTGTTTCATGTTTTCCCTAATGGTGCAAACAGTCTTGCTGTCTTCTCACTGTTACTATTTACCTTTTCTCTTTTGTCTTTTGTCCAGAGCTCTTCCTCCCAACACCCCTGAAAATGGGGTAGGGAGTGAGAGGGAGAGGAGATAGCAAAACATGGGTTTCCTTAAGAGATATACAAATGGAAACACCTCAATCGATAAAGTACATTTTCTAATTCACTGATACTAGAAACGGAACAAACCCTTAGCAGAGGGGATGACAGTGATCACAATGCTCACTGGCCAAGTAACAGTTTAGGAGGGTGTTTGTGCATCCGAGCCTCGGAGTGGGCAGCAGGTTCTTCAAGCTTCTGAGATTTCAAATGCAGATCAATGCATCTTGACTCTAAATTAACTATTCCTGGAAAGACGTGATATGTACTTAAACTTAACTGAACATGTTCTGAAAGGCTCCATGTTTGATTCAGCTTTTATTTATTTATTTATTTTATCCCCAATGGTGCCTGCCCATAGCAAGAACTTAGAAGATCTATATCTGCCTGCTGAACCAACAAAAGAAAGAGTGGTTGGCTTGGTAGGAAGACAGTCAAGCTAATGAGCTCAACCAGCTGTCCCAGAAGCACATGGCGGCAGGAAGGTGCTGGTGAGGGAGCGCAGATGAATAAGGAACATTCTATCACCACTTCAGGAGCACTTTCTACATATGTAAAGGGGAGCTACTGACTGTTAGTATAATCTATACCTGTCTTTCAAAAGTTTAATGAAAGTAGGGCAACAATAGCCTTGAATGTATTTACTCTCATTATCAAGACAATCAAGTGAGTACCTGCCAAGAGGCACTAGTTACGGAACTGCTCCTTACTGGGAAGAACGTGGCAATAATGAGCGTGGCCACGAGCATCCAGAGGGCAGCAAGCTTGGCATTATCTTCATACTAACTAGTGTAGTTTCTGGCATGTAGACAACACACTAAACAAAAGTTAGTTGAAAAGAATAAATGAATAAATAAACAAATGAATAGAAGAGTTACAAGAACTCTAAGAAACTGCTAGAAGTTATCTGTGTTCATTTGTTTGTAGCTTATCTCTCTATCGACCATAACTCCACAATGCAAGGACTTCACATGGCTATGTCTAGTGCCTAAAACAGTACCTGACTCCATATCTTATTTTTGGAATAAATGAATGAATACATGGATAAAATACATTTTTTAGTTGGAGAAACTAAAGCCATTTATTCAACTTTGACTTCTCTCAATACAATATACCTATTTTTAAATGTACAAAATGAATAAATTTACAAGATAGGATAAATCCCTATGAGTACACCCAAATCATCAAAGGTAAGGACTCTAATTTCTTTCCAGGGGTGCCTGGTTAAATCTTGTACCATAGCAGCAACTCAGTATGTGGTTATAAATCAAGGACATTTAAGAAATGATTAGGGTTAAGATAAAGGTAATCTATTTTTATTTTTCTCTTCTCTTGTTGAAAGAGGGCAGAAAAAATATTTATTTTATAAAATGACATATAGAGCACAATAGGTGGAAATTTTTAAATGGGATAAAAAATTTCAAGGAGGTGATAATCCTTAAGAAAGACTGAGTATAAACAGTAAAAATCCTTGCCTTTTGAAAGTTAGTCCAGATTAGAAACCCAGAGAGGAAGGGAAGGAGGGAGGGAGGAAGGATGGGAGAGTGGAAGGGAGGGAGAGGCTGTATTTTTGCTTATATAAAAGAATCAAAGTAAAATTAACATGTTGGTAGTGTCTTTGCATCAAAATTCAAAGTGTATGTACACATGTAAACAAAGAAAAAATAAGATCAGATTAGTGGTCTATTTATATATCAATATTTTTCCATAGTTGGATTTAAAATGATGATCTATCTAAATTTACCTGGCATAGTACTTTAGATCTAATTAATCATTGTGAAAGGGTATTTACAAGGTAAAAAACAACAACCCATAACAATACCTCATACATGGCTTTGAGTTTTGATATTTTAACCATAAATAAACATGTATTAATTCAGTACTACATGAAAATGCTTAAAATGCATAAAATAAACTAACAACTTCTTTGTATGCTGACGAGGAAATGTTTCAAAACAGGAATGAAGTTTCATGGAGTCAGCTAAACATCCTATAACTCACTTATTTTTAAAGATTGGTTAAGCATCCTCTTTGGATATGCCTCAATAAAATAATTATCTCTAGATCCTATAGCCCAGAGGAATAGATGGGACCCATCAATTTTAAGTCCCCTTTCTGAACTAGTATGTGAGTGGTAATGACTCCTGGCTATGTTTCTGCATTGCCTTTGTCAGCCACGGTCAAGCCAGCATAACACCCACAGTTCCCCGAATCAAGAGAGTCAAAAACCTGGGACTAAGTTTAGGCCACATTTAAGCCCTTGGTCTTCCATCACAGGAAGAAATCAGAGAAAAGCTAGGCTAAGCAAAGGAGTGGTGCTGAGGGCCTGACTACACATAGCAGATGGTGCCGAGAGAGCAACCCCAAGCAGTCCTGAAAAGATGACTGCTTATTTTGCGGTTTAAAACAATAAGATAGACTTGGCCATGCTATATTGGCCCCTGAGTGATCAATGTGATCAGATAGTTCATAACACTATGAGGACTCCCTGGTTCTAAAACATATCTCATGGTGCCTTGGGAGTCATCCATCACAACTGGTTCCGATCCACTATACATTCTATTTTTGATTAAATCTTAAAAGGAATTTCTACCTAATTTACCCGCTTTCCATAGGCTGAACATTTCAATTGTCCTTCTATATGAAAAAAGCTTGCTGCTTTTACGTACTGAAACTTAACTCCGTAATTTGAGGCCACTTTCCTAATTTATCAACGTTCTTTAACCCTAGCTAGAGAATATTTGTATCTCCCACCTCCACATTATCAACAATCTTATGACACATTCAACCCCATTCTCTAATTCATTAATAAAAATACTGAATACTACGACTCAAAACAGATTTCTTACAGGACTGCATTCAACGCCCCTCTCCAACTTGATGTAAAACCATGCATTTGACTTTCCTTGGCCAACTCTCTGTCCATTTTCAAACAAAAATTATGTAATCCAAAATTCTATTATTTTTCAACCTGAAAAAACACACTAGGTAGACTTTTAAATATCTACATAAAACAGATGTGTGCAATAATATGATTTGTATGGGACATTTACAAATTGCCACATCTAAAATAGAAAAGAGAAATTAATTCATCGTAGAACGCTGTATGGTTTCCACCATCAGTTATCACATGTACGCCCTTTGAGGCTTAGTTTCTGATGCTTCAGAGACACAGAAAGAAATAATGGTCTGTAATAAGATTCCACCCTAGCACACAAACACATGCATACGTGTGAGATTTTTAAAAATCACACTAAATCTATGATGACAGTTAATGTTTGACATAAAAGTAATAAAAGCTTAATATCTGGCTTTCAAGGAAAAGTACTACCCGATTCCATACACAAGACAAACATACCTAACATGAATTTTTCTAACCATTCTTTTTAATATATAAAGCATTTTATAGACAATATTTCTTTTGCTTCTTTCTCTCATAAAGCCTAGATTATGGTTAATATCTCATGACACCAAAAGTAATACTGTAACAGATATTAAAGCATTTTTTTCAGCCACTTATTCTATAAAATATTAATTGGAAGCCTGTGCATGTGCTGTATATATAGGGGATTAGGTAACTGAGTTCCTGCTCAGTTCTAAATCAATAAAAGATAACATGTACAGCATCCATCACCGTTCACTCTTCCCCTAGTACACAATAACTGCGAGGGGAAGATTTTAAAACATATATATTTAAGCACTCATGGAGATATTACAGGCTAAAGACGATGTAAGCAGTACTTACCCAGGAAGGACAGGTTTTTCTCTAGAAGCAAGTCTCTCAGCAGGACTTCGTGCTCATGGCCAATGGCACTGGGAGGTTTTAGTTAAGGAGGGTGACACACACAGGATTATGAAAGGATGCCATCAGAAAAACACTAATACCAGGGCTATACTTTGAGATGAAAAGAAAAATAAGATGTAATTGTAGCCACTGTTTCTACCCTTAGCCTACATCTCTGAGATTTCTATACACCTCCTCTCATTGGAAATGAATGAACAGAATTTTTCTATAATGTTTATATGCATTTTGGCAAATAAAGATTTGTAAATGGATGTGTATGTAGTTTATCTTCTTTAGAAAAGAGGGAGAGATTTTAAATATCACCTTAAACGTCTCAATTCAATTCAGCACACATTTATTAAGAACTTACTAAGTGCAGCAAATACCACCCTCCAAGAACTTTCAGAGTTCCCTAAATTTCTGTGACTTCACACTTGTCACAGAGCCAGCATTCAGCCACTCCTGTTTTACCTCCAATCTACCGGTGGCGCTCTTCTGTGACTTGGGAAGTCAAACAACTGACTTGTTGAGAATTACGTATGATGTAAAAGAAAGGCATCTTAGTAAAGGGCTGTTGGTTAGGGTGTGTGTACAGAGGCTATTTCAAGTTGTTATCTCATGCATGTGCAAGTGTACACATATTATACTATGCATATAAATAGATACACACAGGCACAGAGAAATGTTCTGAGTGCTCACTAGGAGGCTGGCACTCTGTTAAGTGCTTCACATATGTTGTTTCATCCTTAGAGTTATCATTATCCTTATTTTATAGATGAGGAAACTGAGGCTTAGACAGGGATCCGCACAAGGTCATAGGGTTAATGTGTGGCAAAGCAGAGGATCAGATAAAATCTGTGCAAATCCTGCATTTATGACCTCCATACAGCTTCTTGAAAAGCATTAAAATTAATTATGTAGCATGGCTCAGTGGTTGAGCATCAACCTAGGATCCAGGAGATCACGGTTTGGTTCCTGGTCAGGGCACATGCCTGGGTTTCAGGCCCAATCTCCGGTAGGGAGTGTCCGGGGGGGTGCAGCCGATCAATGACTGTCATCATTGATGTTTCTCTCTCTCCCTCTCTCTTCCTCTCTCTTCAATCAATAGATATATTTCTAAAACTTAATTATGTAAAAACAATTGATAGTAGCTAATATTTCTTAAATACCATATGTAAACCCTTTATGCTATAAACACTTTGGAGTATTATCGCCTTATTTAATCTTCACAACAACCACATAAGTAGGTAGCCCCATTTTTACAGTTAGGGAAAGCAGGTTCAGGAAGGCTGAGGAACTTGCTGAAGGCCCCGTGGCTGGTAAATAATAAAATCAGGAATGGGACTTTGAATTCTCATGTATTTTCCAAAAGGATGGGATTGCACAAAGTCTGAAAAGGAGGGTTACCTAGTCTGGTACTTTAATTCTGTCAAAAGCATTTGGTCATAATTATCTAATTCTCCATTTTACTAATAATGTCAACCTCATCACATTGCTCCTTAGCTTACCAGAGACTCTTTAATTCCGATCATGCCCTGCAAAAGTTCTCTTTATATCAAATAAAGCTTATATAGTATTTGTAAAAAAATTTCTTAGCAAATTATCCCATCCTTTATCAACACATACAGATGAATAATACGAGAATTCCAGAGATGGGGCCACTTGTGTCAACTGTCAAAATGAGCCCTAGGTCATCATAGCTGCAGTTTTCCTTCTGTTGTTTCTCCTTCCCCACTCCAGTACACATAGGTATATGTTTATTTAATTTTTTAATGGAAACAAAATAAAGGAAACACATTTTAAATCACAAAATTTCACACACTTGCAGAGTCCATTGAAGACATTTGATGAGTGCCTCTCAATGATTTCTCATTACTAGGGGCGTACCACATCTTAGAACTAAATTATTTACTTCTATTCCACATAAATGTGCTCTCACTCTTATTGTTGTAAATTATTTACATCTAAAATGTTGAATCATGAAACTGAGGTTACTGATGGTACAGAAATGAAACCCACAGCATTTTAAGCTTCCTGCATCATTATCTTTCCTTGCTTCTCTGCTTAGGTCTTTGTCTAATAGCTGTGTCCTGAAGTCACACTTTGGAAAGTTGAGGTGGCTTGTTTCTCACACCTTTTGTGTCAGTGAATATGACCTGTGGCAGGAAAGGTGTGGGTGAGCCTGGCTATGGAAGAAAAAAAAGAAAAAGAGACACAGATAGAAAAAGAAAGCACAATGACGATTTATATTCTCTTTGCTACTATGCTCTCCTGTTGCCTTATTAGTAAATGAACAATTTACTTTATTCTACTTACACAAATGTCTACATGTAACATTTTCATAATGGAGTAAAAAAGTTTGGCACCTATTCGATTTACTAAATGTGTGCTTTCTTTCTTACAAAATGATGGAATTTACTGAGAGTAAGTGATGTAAACAGTACCAAATTATCAAAACAACATACACATAGCATTTTCACTCCCATGGAAAACTAGTTATTTTTATTCAGTGTGAAATAAAATAATTCCTGTTGATCAATCTAAGAGACATCTATGCAAGTGTATTTACATTATATAAAACTGTTACTACCTCAATGCAAAGATAAAATCAGTTCTCCATAAATTTCCCAGTCTATTTTATTTTGCATGGTAAAAGCAATCACTAATTTTAAATTTTAGAAAAATTTGCTTCTTAGCTCTGCTTTGCTTGATATAAACATATATAAAATATAAGGTCTAGATAATAAAGCTTGTAAAAACAGTAATTTTACTGGCAATAGGCACAATAATGGCAAACTATAATCTAGTCAATGAATGCAATTTATAGGCATACATCATTATCTTTATCAATTGAAATCTTGTCTACATTAAACTCTACACAGCGAAAAAAGGGAAGTGAATGAAGGCAAAAATGTAAGGAAAATGCTCCAAACAGAATTTATAATGCTCCATAAGCAGAAACACTTAGACTTTGTCTATAATAATACCTATTATTGATGTATGGCAGTGACCATGGGGCAAAACTTGTAAATAACCTCACAAGCCATTTTCTTCGCCAGCAATACAGCAATCTAGTTTCCCGTAAGCATCTCAACTATTACTGAAAAATAGCCTCCTGGCATTTACAAAGCAGTTGACTTCATACTTTAGTCCATGCATATATAATTAGATAGTTATATTTAAAATCAATATGCAATCCTTCAAAAGACATTATGCTTTTAAAACCTTAACTTTAAATTGATTTTTAACTATTTTATGTGCTTGAAAATTAACATGTAATTCCGCCCCAGATACTCTGAGATGGTGTTAGTTGTTACATGAATGTGGTAAACTTTATCGCCGTAGCAACTTGAGGTTGGTATTCCTACAACTTCTAACTACCATTAATTTTACACTGAAGACAGAAGTATAGCTTTACATTGGTCTAATAAAAAGGTAAGCTTATGATAATGCTGAGATTTTATTAAGTCAGATTGAGGGGAACAGACTTGGATAATAAATATATCATGGGCTATAATATAGATACTAAATATTCTTGTAAGAGGGCTCTGTTAGATTATTTTTTAAAATGAACCCTTATGAGAAAGTAAATGAGTGATTTTCTCTTTTACAAAAATTTTGCTGACTCTCAACCTTTATGGAACAAGGTGGAATATAAACACACATGCATGTGCACACACACACTTGAATAGTGAGACACACACTTGACTAGTGAGGGCTTCCAAAAAACGCCTCCTGACTGGTCACCAAGTCACAGCTGGACACAGTGCCACCCACACTAATAAAACCTATACCAGGAAGGGCATGTTCTATGATAAGTAATGTGAGACTCATGGACTCAGATAAAATTTTCATTTAGAAAATAACCCATTATTTACTCTTCAAACAGCATTTTTGCCAAAGGTTATATCAAAATTCTTAGTGTTGCCACAGCACTACTAAATGTACTGATGAATTATGTCCTGCTTCATGAAATCATCACTGTCCACTCAAATCTTGTTTTAAGAAGTAAGCATTAACTCTTCAGTAATCTCCATCTTTCATGAATGACTGGTCATGTTTTCATAGCCTTAAATGCAGTCCAGAAAGAAAAATTAGCTTGGTTCCTCTAAAAATGTTGATTAGGGGTTCTAATGACAGCCCCCCTCATAATCGGCATTTAAGCAATGAGAGTCTACTGCCCTTTAAAATGCGATGGTCTCTGGCGACGTTTTAAGCGCATCAGCCTTTAACTTCAGGCAACATTTATTCTAGCAAACTCAACTGAATTTGGCTCATTTTAAATAGAAATTTGTTCTATTTTTAAAAATGTTCATTGGAATGGTTAGATACATTCGAAGACAGTATGTTACCTGCCTGATGACTCTGTACGTTTAAACTCATTGAAAATCAAGCAGTTTGAAATAAGCATGTGAATGCGCAGCTGCTGAACTGACATCTTCCCGCGGCCTATCTGGCTTTTCTTAAGCTGTAGGAGAGAATGGTCTGCAGTGATCCTCCAGTTGATTGAATGTAAAATAGAAGAGTATGAAATGTGTTTTGTGAAGCAGAACTTTATGTCATGTTAAAGCTAGACACATCTCCTCCGCTGAGTCTAAGCTCGTCAATTGTGCACCTAAAATTTTATGGGAAAGGATACTGTTTGATGCAGTCCACCAGTGGTCCATAACAGCAGTCGTTCACAATGCACTGCAGACAAATAAGAGAAGGGGTCTGGGTGGCGCGACTACAGAAACCATTACAGCGAAACAGTATCCTAAAAGCAGTATCCTCAAATTTTTTTCTTAATTTTTTTAAAAAAATAAGCTATTAAAAGGCTGTGCAGATTTAATCACAGAAAACAAAAATTGCATGCTTTTTATTCACTATAAAAGCAAGCTATTAAAAAGTGAAATGCTCTTCTCGCAAATATTGCATTGCCATTTATGGTGCACCCTGACCTCAGTGATAGTTTATGATGACAGTAATTAAATGAGGTTTAAAATCCTTTACTCTGCTAGGCAGATAACAGCATTGCCACTGAAAATAGACAGCTGTGATTAATACCTGATAGACCTGATTTGCTAGAACTCCATCTGGAATCTGAGAAGGGTCCCGTAGCAGACTATTTATAACAGACTTGGAGGCTGTAGGAGGAAAGAGATGAACTGTTAGCAGACAGTCAACATACCTTTAATGCAACATGAGAAGTGACATATACCTCTATATACACAAACCGTAAAAATGAAAACACTACTGATAGTAATCATTTCCTTTTTATAAATCTACGGAAAGCTTTTAATTAGTCCATTTTGCCAAGTTTGTAAGCCGCACTGCCAGATTTGAAGATGACCTAATTTTTCCAAGGTAAATTAACAAGTACAGACCTAAAGCATATGTCTCTCTGTAGATAAATTAGCTTTGGAAAAGCCCACTTGGGAAAAAAACACAACAAAAACAACCAGAAAAGAAAATATTTACCTTTGGCAGGTAAGTATTTTATAACAAAGGATATGTATGTAGAGAGCTTAGTGAAGGCAGGTCAGATTCAAAGACTTCAGTGATGCCAATAAAAATAACTTTCGGCCAAGAATGCATCTCTGAATTCTAGACTTTTCTAAAATAATTCTCATCAACTGCCATAAGATGTTATATCCATTTTACAGGTGAGAAAAGTAGGTAAAATGACTGGCAATTGAGGGAATCTTAAATAAAGGAGAAAAATATATATATATATATACACATATACACATTTATATGTGAGGTTTTGTTCTAAAATATGTCTACCTATATCCAATTGAAAATTACATTGACCCTATCCCAGGGAACTGTTATAGAAGAGGCTAGAGGGTGGCACCTAAGGAGGGATGCTGCATCAAGTCACATTCTTTGAAAACTCAGGCAGGAGATGCTGGCCTTGCTGTCTACAGCAGGCACATAAAAAGCAAAGTGGCCAGAACCCCTCTTCCTCTTCAGTGGAGGAATGCAAGCCTCTGGACCAGTGGTTTTTAACACTGGGGTGTCCCAAGAATTTTTAAAACATGCAACACCTGACTCTTTAGTCAGGGGCACTGACCTCTTTTCCCTTAGATTGTCAAATTTAAAAATGACAATAGCCAACACAACAATAGCCATTTGGTGTGAATGAATCAAAATTATACCTATTTTTTGGTTAGATTGGCAAAAAATATATATATTTTTTTGGTGTACTGCAGAATTTTAGTAATTATTTTATGTCTATCATGAGATGAAAAAGGTTGAAAATCACTGCTCTAGACTGAAGCCAAGTCAGGTGATGCCTAGGAATCAATTATTTCAAGACCTCCAATAGAATGGTTCTCAAATATTTAGCTAAAATGGCTTAAGGTAGGGTCCATACAAACACAATCTAAAATGCATATCGGATAATCACACAGATAATAGAATAAACACAGACCACACATTTACATCATTCAGGGTTCTGAGATGAAGATGATTTTTGGCCTACCTATTTTTTTTTACACTGTTATGTTCTTTATCAAGTTCAGTACCATAAGAACACTGGCAGATGTGATAAATGTTAGTAAATACTATGGAAAGATAAGGAAGTTACATCTTTCTCACTTAAGCATAATACTGAGTCCACAAAGAAAAAAATGAAGTACAATTATTTTAATTATTTCCTATTTTTAGTCACATAACTGCATGCTTATAGTAACATTTATGTATTTAATAGCCATTTGTAAATGTGTTTGCACTGTGAGTGGAGGGGCATATTTGGAATCCAAAATAAGCATCATCACTCCAGGAAGCCTATGTAGCCCCATCTATACAACTAGCTCTGCCACCTGCCCTGTGCAACTTATGGGGCCTTTCAAATTCAATGTCTTCATCTGTAGAAGGTGATGGTATTACCTGAGCTTACTACCTTAAAGGTTTCCTGTGTGATTCTCTAGAGAAAGTATCTTCAACAGCTATCTTGTTGTTATATATTTTGTTAAAGTTTAAGTAATATTAAGAACCAAATCAGATTAGGCATTTACTTAATATAAACCTAAGCTGGACTCAATTATTTCTGATGGAAATTACCATGGATGAATGGTACAAACACTGGGAATATGAAATAGCAAATGGTCTTATTGTAAAAGAATAGATTACTGCAACAATAGTGCTCCACAGGTAGTAATGCACCTGGTACGCTCACTTAGTTAGGGCTAGGTCCTAACTTAATTCTAGGGCCTGGCCAGAGGGATCACAGCAGTACTCGTGCATTTGGTCACCTTCTGTGAGGGTACTTACTCTCTCCGGTTTGCACTCAGTTACCAGAGAGTAATGGCAGACACATTCTCTTAGATTACCCAGGATGCCCCCAGTGTCTCAAGGAAACAATAACACCTTCTCCACATGTACCTGTGCCTGGTCACTGCTAAGGCCTTACACTGCTAGCTCCCATACCATGGGATGAAAAAAATTATTAATGTATAAATGGCCAGAGAGCATAACCAAAAGTGTTATCCTATGGAAAATCACAGACCTCACGACCAACTAAATGCAAACTCGCTGCTAAAATCATAAAACAAAGGCTCTTTTAAAAAAAGAAGACGAACAATACTCTAGGACATAAGAAAATTAGGTCATTTATTTTATGAGGGAAGAAAGGGAAATATTTAAGAAAAAAGAAACTGATGACATCATAATTTTCCTCACAATAAAAACTTTAGAACAGTGTGCTTATCAGCATTAAGAATCATAGCCAATAAACTTTAAAAAATAGTTTGAATGCACTGAATAGAACACTATTCAAATCAAAGGAAGCTTGTAAGAGGAAGTCAGTCATTTTAAATTGAATAGTAAAAACTATATATTGAGTCCACATTCATGCAAAAAGTATGCCTGCATCTCAGATGAAGCCAGAGAGCTCAGATTTACTCTTACACACGTATTGTGAAGCTTCGGACCTGCCGAAGGGATGAACAATCACATCAACCAGATAAGGAAAGGCAATTGGACATTCTTGGGGGTGCTGGGGATGAGAGGGCTCAAGACAGCCTGTGCCTTTCATGGAAGCTGTTCCTGGGGCCAGTTACTACCTCTGTCCAATTTTCACCCATCCTTTTTGACCATTTGTGCACAGGAGTCTCGTTTTCCCTAACTTCTTCCAGAGGCATTCATTCTGTTGATTTCATAGCTTGCCTGCCACTGCTTCAACTGCCGGAGTTCAACTTTCCACCAAGCTGGTACAAAGCAGGAATGCACGAGTCACTGGGAGCTAGATGCACAAGGATAGGAGGGAGCCGGTGCCTGTTAAGGCCGGAGGGCAGGCAACAGGCAACGCCGGCACTAAGGAGCAATGCCTAAATTAAGATGGTGATCTTTATACTGTGAAATATTTCTAACAAAAAGGAGTCAGGAATCTAATATAGTAAACATCCACCCACCCACCACTCAGATTTAATTTCTGGATCTACAATTAAATTAACTTTAAATACTCTAATAATAATTTTTGTAAACTTTTAAATGTACTGGTCTTCCTAGAGGTTGGTTTATTACTATTTCAAGAAACCAAAGTTTGGTTTTGTTGATTCTCTTTACTGTTGCATTTCTTCAAATTTAATTTAATATAATTTTTTGTGATCATTATTTCCTGCTTTCTACATTGAAATTGCCACATCATTCTTTTGCTATTTTTATTGAATACATTTTCAATCTTTTATTTTAACATATACCTTTTTAAACTTTATTTTTATTGCTGACACTATTACAGATGTCCACATTCTCCCCCCTCCCCCCGCAC